TGCCAAAATAGTCACTGCTTGTGATACTCCTATTTTTTCCTCCACTGCTCCTCCCTGAGCAGTGGTAAGGTCTATCAGAAACAACTTCTCTATCTCTACGAGGTATGGGTAAGGTCTGCTACACGCTATCGTATAGACCCCACTTGTGGTTACAACTTACACTAGGTATGTTGTTGTTGCCCCTCACAGGGCATGTCCAACCTCCCAGATGGAGGATAGAAATCGACTTTATTATAAGCAGTGGCGGATCCACTGTAGACGTTACGGGTTCAGCAGAAACCAGTAGTTTTGGTCCAGACTCTAGACCTTGTATTTGTGTTAAAAGTTTCACTTAAAATGTATAAATAATGTTACAAGAACCCATTAAACATAAATAATATAACAAGAACCCAGTAAACAGAAAATGTAGAGGTCCAAAACCCATAAAACATAAAATTACGAATCCACCTCTGAGGCTCTGACTATAAGACCAACTTGTAATTGGATCCATGTCTTGTACTATGTCTTGGGTGTGGCAATGATCTCGCATTGTACTATATTCCTCTAAGCTTAATTCCGTAGATCACTCAATTTCATAAACATCTTACTGATGTAGTATATTTTACAACTTCATATTTTTGTAGATCGTATGAAGCAGAAGTTGCATACTTGGAAGTTGAATCAGAAAAGAAAAACGTAGGTCCTGAGAAAGAGTCGACAGGCAGCTGGACAAAAGGATTGTGGTCCCTTCTCAAAAAGTCTGAAAGAGTAGCTTGTCGTGCAAACTGCAATATTTGCAAAACAAAAGCAGGCCACACATCGGCAAAATGTCCCTATTCAAAAGATTCAAGATGGTTAAAGTCCAAAGGGCGTTTTCTTAGTGTTGGAGCTGCTGTAATCTCTTGCAGAAATGAAAAAGCACCTGATGGTCTGGTGGCTGATGCACACCTTTCAGATGGTTTTCTACATCTTATACTAATTAAGGAATGCCCTCACGCATGTTATTTGTGGTAATCGTCTCTCTCTCTCTCCTCACTGTTTTAACCTAGAAGCTTAAGGTCTAAACTCATGACCGGAGATAGTGTATAGGTGCAGGCTTGGACTAGTAACTTTTGGTTATACCCTGTATTTATATTAGAAATTCCATTAACTATGTATAAATATTTAACTGCGAACCTAGAAACTAAAATGAGCTATGAATTCGGTGGCAAGTTCAGAATCCATAAACTTCAAATATGTATGCTTAGTCGTTGGATATTATTGACTTGAAAATGTAGAAATAAACCAACATGGCTCAACTTGGATGTGTCCGTATTCTTAGCACGGTATTACCTATCTTAGCCCTGCTGACGTCCACACGATGTTTGTCTATTTTATGCAGTCACCTTCTCCAGCTAGCAAAGAAGGATGGCAATCCGCTAGATTTTGAATTCGTCGAGCACCATAAGGTAACCCGAAACTCTTTTCCTCCTGCTTATCTTTCCATGAAGCTATTCTTTCATAACATTTTCTGCATTCTGCTATTCAGACTCCAGCATTCACATTCACTTCTTTCGGCAAGGAGAGTATATGGAACGTTGATGGCGAGCTCTTTCAAGCTCATCAACTTTCAGCTCAAGTATTTCGCGGGTTGATTAACTTATTTGCTAGTGGCCCTGAAGCCTAAAGTGGCTGAATCTCTTAAAATAGGTTATGTTGCTTTTGACTCTCCGAAAATATGGCAACACTCATGTTGGATCCTCCAAAAATGCTCTACTTTTGGAGGATCTAACGCACATCTGATGATATTTTTGAAGAGTCCGAGCAACATAACATATAGGTGTTGTTTCTTGTTGGAAAGCTATTGGATATTCCATCAATTAATTTATCTATTCAGAAAAACTTTGTATTTGACATCCCATTTCCTGCCTGGAAGTTACTAAGAAAAAGGCAGGGGGATGCCAGTGACTGTGTTTAGAGAACTGCTTAATTTTCTCATAAATTAGATAGGAAATGTTGTATAGGTAAAAATAAGTGCACCTTATAGATATAATAAAAATATATTCTATGGTATTTCATGAGGTCTGTTAAAGTGTGTGACCGTCTCATATAAAAATTTATGTTACTAGAGAGCATATTTATGTATTTGATTATGTTTTTTAGTATGCGTTTTCATGTGCAACTCTGACTCTTTCTCATTGGTCAAATAAATGATTTTTCATTCTTGATAATGGGTAGCGGTGATGTGAGATTCAAAATCAAAGCCGTTGCATATTCTGCTATCATGTTGAAGTATGTGACTTTCGTATAAGAAAACACACTTTGATTATTTCTTCAATTAGTTTTGATTTTTTCTTTTCTATTAGGATAGTGTGAAGTAATATTTTTTTTTTAGGTTGAGTATATCAAATAGCTTCATAAATTTGTCATTGAGTTTTATTTAAGAAACTCAAATTGTGATGTGTTTCAGTTGAGTATCTAAACATGTGATAAAAAGTTTTTATTAGAAACTTCTTACTCATATTTTGAAAATGTTACCATGTGTGTAGAAACTATCATTACATAAATAAGTTGATCACATAAATGTCTCGTGATAATTAACGCGAGATGCTTTATGCACCAGACTGTCTTTTTTAGTTTTTGGCAATTAAACTCACCCGTTAAGAATGAAACAAACTCATTCTAATGAAATAGCGTTTTGGATTGAATCAAAACAAAAACCAACTTGCAAGAAAGGAGTTTGAGATTGAATATACCTATTTTTAAAAAAATCAAAATCTAAACAATTTGAAGATAACAAACCAAGTAGTGTACTAGTTTTTTTGAAAAAGGACAGCTCGATACACAGCATTCTGCATTCACACAGGATTCGAGGAACGACAGTTCGATACACAAAGCATTCTGCATTTACACAGGATTTGAGAAACGATTGAATCCTAAGGGGTGTGCTAGTTCCCTAGAAGACATTATATTTTTATAAATTTCCAAAACCATCCTACAATCAACCACATCATTGGTTGAAGAATCCACAATTGGAATTGATTTTCCAATTGCAACTTTTTTAGCTTCACAAATAGTACCATCTTTCTTGTAACCTTCTAAACTTAGCATTTTATTAACATAAACATTGTGAAACTTTGTCATTAGTTTCAAGGGTGAAAATAGCTTCCAATGGAGCTTAATCCTGACTTGTTTAATCTTCGAAAAAATCATCCTTCTCTTGTTTCCGAGCCTAAGAACTCGTATTTTCCTCTTGTTGTTATCCCTTTTTGCATCTCCTAATCTATGGTACTTTTGCGTCCCCACAAATTTCTTTAGGTAATGCAAATATGAAAAACCAAGATTTCCCATCGATGGGGTTTTGTTAACAACGATAGATTAAACAAGAACTTGATGAACGAATAAACAAAAAAGAACTTTTTCGATGAGCTAGTTAAGTGGAGTGTAAAAGAATTTGTGTGGATTCTTTATGTGTAAGAAGGGACACTTTATATAGAGCAAGAATGACATGGTAAGGTTAGAGTTAATTGGATAAAGACAATGATAAAGTTCATTTGATTATGTTTTTAAGGTACAAACATTAACAAAATGACATAAAATTATTGATGTATTTATAGTTTAAACACTATAATATTAAGGGAAAAAGGTCAAATATACCCCGAACCATCGTAAATAATATGCAGATACCCTCCGTCATACTTTTGGGACATTGGTGCTCCAGTCGTCCTAAAACTGGAGCATATATACCCTTTATATTAACGGGCATACACGTGTCATAATCTTATCCACCGACCCGGCATTTATTAAATATCGGATCGACGGATAAAATTGTGCCACGTGTTCCTATTTAGTCTTCTGTTACAGTGAAGGGCATATATGCTCTAGTTTTTGAACGACAGGGGCATCAATGTCCCAAAAGTATGACGAAGGATATCTGCATACTATTTACGATAGTTCAAGGGTAATTTGTCTTTTTAACTTTACTATAGATTAGAAAAAGTAAAACTTGACTATATAACTGTGGATCCTATTTGAAAGGATCAAATGAGATGATTGTTTATTCATATTTGACTGTTTCAAACAAACTATGAAATTTTGGTAGTATATCAAAGAAACATATTAGCATTGATATTTTGTAGCAACAACAATAGACCCTCAGCTAAAAATAATAATAATCATTTTTCAAAACAATTTTGAAAAAAAATTAAACTAGACCACACTGATTAAGTCTTTTAGGGTGAGGTATAATGTATAATAATCTCAGGATAAAATGCAGAATTATTTTATCTTGCGGTTGGTTGAGGTATTAGACAATCTTGGGAATATTTATCCCACCATCATTTATGCCTTAATGATGAGACAAGTTATCTCATATACATGGTGAAATAACTTATTCTAAAAAAATTAATCCCAAATAACTTGTTCTCAACCAAACGGTCAGTAATTACTAGGTTGTATGTTGTTGAGCCAATTGAAAAGGTCCAGTTATAATCACTACCACTTGCTGCCAAAATTGCCGTCCCTTACACTTTATGTGCAAAAGGTGAGTATTACATTACAATTAAAACAAAACAAAAATGATTGCAGGATTCCGGAAAGGGTCACACCTTAAGGGAGGGTGTTGTAGATAGCCTATCGTGACACAAGCATCAAAAGTTGATTCCATGAGTCAAATGACCTATAAATCACATCAAAACAACTTTACTGTTGCTTCAAGACTCCCCTTCGAGTTTTACATTCCGATTGAGAGTTGAAATTCAAATAACTTATTTTTCGCTAAAAAGAATGGGTTAGGGATGAGAAATGGGGAGGGGATTACAAGGTAGAGAATCAAACCCTCACCAACAAGATGAAAGTTAGGTAGTCAACCAACCAAGCTACTAAGATTCCTCGTTCCAATAAGTTCCAATCAGAAACTGAAATGAATTTTTCAAAGAAACATAGACAATAGTACACACTGAAAAACTCCACAATTTCAGTAAAAAGGTGTATACTCATGAACTATTAACAAAAGGACTTCAGCCTTTATCTCTTTAAACCAATGCTCATAAACACAGGCCATAAGGCCGTCATAATAGTTTTGCAATGTCATGTCTACACATCACATTTTATCTCGTCTATTAATGAACGAAAACACGGAAATTACTTGAGATCTTGGTATTAACCAGTTAGCACATCAAGTTCTTGAAGTCAAATCTAACAAATGAATGTAAAATTACAGAAGGTAGAAATTCACAGAAATGGAAAAACAAGCAACCCCTGAAAAAATCTACCTGTTTGATGAGAGGACTAACAGAGTGCAGAATACCTATTCTGATATATACAGTAAATGCACGAATGATGTAACATTTAGTCAATGCCTCCATCTGCCACTTTCAACGTCGTCATCAAAGATTGGTCCGGTCTCACGGGCACTGTGTTCTGATACGGCAATGCCATGTTCAGGTTGAACATACATACTATCAACTTCGGGTTGCCTTATAGTAAGACAACCTGGATTATTCGACATAGATTGTGTACCAGTTCGCTGTTCCGCCAACCTTTGTAAATGCACATGGGGCATCCTACCTGGACATGGAATAAGCAGTGTATCAAAATTTCCGTTAACGAGTTCGATCAACTAAAAATACATGTCATGTCAACTTCTTCTTTCGAGTCTTCAGATATAAACTTTCTAGTAACAGTGAAAATGTGAATCTTTTAACTCAGAAAAATAAACAGCAATAAGGCAGGGCATTAAAATGCAAGAGAAATTGCTAATATAAGAATGTAAGGACTATAAAGCTTGTAAACCTTCAACAAAATCTGGTGAAATCCCAAAAGTGGGGTCTAGGTAGATGTACCCAAACCTTACCCTACCCCGTGGAGGTAGAGAGGTTCCGAAGGACCCTCACCTCGAGTGCAACAAAGCAAAGTAGTTATGAAAAGGAAAAACAATAGTGAAGAAAACACAACAACTAAAAAGGAAAGCAGTGCAGAGCACTCATAAAAGGAACAGTAACAACAATGAAATAGCCTTGTAAGCTTTATGGTTTACATAAACCCAACCATGAAATATCAGCAATAGCTAAGTTATATTGGGCCCTTAAACTTTTTCATTTACAGATTCTTTTCCCTTCAGCTGGGAAAAGGCTGCATCTAACAACATTTGGAAAGCCAAAACAATTTAGCACTCAGTGGGCCGGCTTACCTCTATTAGATTCTGGTGTGTAGGATAAAACAACAGAAGAGAAAACAAGACCTTTCTCAGAAGTGCTCTGCCATGTGTTCACCATTGCACATTTCTAGATGTTCCCATCCCCCCAAACAATAGACGCAACAACAGAAAATGTGCAATGACTAAGCAATATTTGCCCATTAACATTTTCCTCTGTTTCTTTCTCCTTCTTCAGCTAGGCAAGGACTCGAAACTTACAGCATTTGGAAACCATAAACAGAACTTAGTATTCAAAGCAACAGAGAGGAAAAGACAAACAACCAAAGGTAGTGCTCCCTCATGTTTTCCCTTTTAAGTGCTAAAATTTCAGGGAAACACTGACAAAATCATCAACCAATTGAATTAATTATGCAACAATTTACACACAACAAAAAAAAACCTAACACTGATTAAACAATTTCAGTAATCAAATAGGTTCCTAAAGCTAAAGTAATTAACATTTAGAAAAATAAACAGCAATAACGCAGGGCATCATTTAGAAATGCAAGAGAAAATGCTAATTTAAGAATGAAAGGACTATTAAGCTTGTAAACCTTCAACAACAACATACCCAGCGAAATCCCACAAGTGGGGTCTGGGAGGTGTGAATCTACGCAAACCTTACCCCTACCTCGTGGAGGTAGAGAAACTGTTTCCGAAGGACCCTTGGCTCAAGCGCAACAAATCAAAGTAGTAATGAAGAAAAAAAACAATAGTGAAGAAAACATAGCAACTAAAAGGGAAAACAGTGCAGAGCATTCAGAAAAAGAACAGTAACAACAAGAAAATAGCCTTGTAAGCCTTCGTGGTTTGCATAAACCAACCATGAAATATCAGCAATAGGCTAAGTTATATTGGGCCCTTAAACTTTTTCATTGACATATGGTTTTCCTTCAGCAGGGCAAATGCTGCATCTAACAACATTTGGAAAGCCAAAAATAGTTTAGCACACAGTGGGCCGGCTTTCCTCTATTAGATGCTGGTGTATAAGATAAAAAAACAGAAGAGAAAACAAGACCTTCCACAAAGGTGCTCTGCCATGTGTTCGCCATTGCACATTTCTAGATGTTCCCATTCCCCCCAAACAATAGACGCAACAACAGAAAATGTGCAATGACTAAGCAATATTCGCCCATTAATATTTTCCTTTGTTTCTTTCTCCTTCTTCAGCTAGGCAAGGACTCGAAACTTACAGCATTCATAAACAGAACTTAGTATTCAAAGCAACAGAGAGGAAAAGATAAACAACCAAAGGTAGTGCTCCCTCACGTGTCATGCCATTGCCTAATTCTAACCTACTTACTCTGGAATAGCTGGCGAAAAGGGAAGCACCCATTTACCCCCACCCTTGAGGATGAAGAGGCAATCTAATAGGAGAAAGTATGCTTAAAAATCCAGCAACAGTAGAATTTGAAGGTATCTACTATCCTCCAGAAAACTTCATTTATGTATTATGCACTTCTGCAAGAAAGTGAGAATTAAACTGAGGAACTCATTTACATAGTTTTCATATTATCTTTCAGCCTTCAGATACAAACTCACTACACATGTGGCAGTCGAATTGATTTACTATTTACCTTCATAAAAATCACAATGCCCTACCATTAAGGATTTTAACTAGTGAACTGGCTAATTCTTTGTTTTTGTTGATTCCAAGTTGGATTACTGTGAAAAGAGATACTGAAGAAAGTGAGCAAGTACCATCTATATCATATGGTGGGGGAAAGAATTGTAGGTAACAAATTGAAGCCACAATCAATCCTGCATAAATGTCACAAAGAAAATAAACAATAAGTTCTCTATACAAGGCAACAAGAAAACTAGAAAAGAGTAATCATCCATAATTTACAGACCTAAGAGACCTCCAGCAAATACATCTTGCCAATGGTGCCAGTAATCATCAACCCGGGAAACTGCGACTAATGCCGCCATCAGCAAGGGCAAGAAAACAAGGCAGAGCTTAGCAACATGGCCTCTTTGATCAAACACCTTGATTTTCCCTGACAGGTACCAAGCGAGGAAGCCAAGACCAGCAAAAGACCCTATTCACATGATACCAACAAATGCCAACAAGCTTCAGTTTTCTCTAAGAACTCAATTTACTCAAAGCAAGCCAAGATTTTAGATAAAACAGCCAAACACCCATACAGACACATAAAGAAACATAATATTTCATATTGTCAAATCTGGTTGAAAATTGAAGCATAAGCCAGTCACCTATACACTTACAGGAGTTCCAAGTTACGAGCAAGATGTCTACTTACGTAGATCATCCAAGCATAACTCAAACTCACCTAAGAATCGGCTAACTAATATGGCTGAACTATTTGAGGTGAAAACTTAACTATTAAAACATTATAGGTTAAGCATATGGGAAAAGGAGTGATAGGGTAGTGATAAACACAAAAATCTATTATTTGGATTTTTAACAAATCGTTAGACAAATTCGGCAGGTACTTGACTAGATTGTACCGGACAACACAGCACAGATGTTTCATTCTTCCAGCATTTTATAAATAATTATTTAAAGATCAGTTGTACTAATTACAAGGAAAAGCAATCTAAAATCTTGCAGTGAAATCCTATGTTGAATAGGAGAAGAATAAAATATCAATACAGTGGAAAAGGAAACAGTTCACATCACTAAGAAAGTTTTATTGGGAGAAGGAATGAAAGTGAAGGGTAGCTCATTTGGTTTAAAGGGTCAAGTACAAAAAAGGAAATAATCACAAATTTCTGATGCCAACAATGCAATTGATAGGGAATAGTTATACTCACAAGAACTATGTCCGCTTGGGAAACTCTTATGTCCTTCTTTGATAACACTTTTCAAGCCAGTACATTTGACATTGCTTGTGATTGGATCAAACACCTAAACACAGAAAATTATAATCGGAAGTTGCAAATGATGTCATATCAGTTTCTAATACAGAAAGGATATTCCAAGACGAATAAACATACCCCTTTTCCATCAGGGAAACACCGCCAAAAGAAGTCTGGACGGGGTCGACCAACGGCATCTTTTATTGCATCAGTAAGAACAGAGGTGATGAGTACAGAGTACAACAATCCTGAACAAAGCACACAAAGTAATCAATCTGATCCAGTTATATATACTAGCCAATATAACTTGCTACCAGGCAAAAGCTGATAGTCACGTAAGGGATAAAGAATACCTAATATAGCTTGATGCACGTCGTAGACATCCTTTCTGATGAAGTAAAAGACAAGTATGACTAGCAAAGGTAAGATTATAGCAATAATCTGTTTACAAGGAAAAGACATGGATTATAAAATGCCTACTTAGAAGTACAAAAAACACACATACTTCTTTGTAACTATGTAATGTCTCAAACCAATTTATCTTAGAGGTTGCACTTACTGGAACAGCCCAAAAGGGAATGGTATTGTCTTTCAAAGGGTATCTTAAATCTGTCATCATGTCAGATCCAACAAAACGATGAAACGGTTCTATCACATTTAAAACTATATCTATCACCACAAGTAGGAAGAGAATAAGCCAGTCATGCATGTGAAATCTTGCTACTTCCACTCCCTCGTTTCTGAATGTATGGGCGCCCAACTGAATCTCTGGCATTTTACCAACTAACAGAACAATAATAGGGGTTAGTAAAACTTGCAGATGTTGATAAATAAGAAACAGAAACAGAGATAGCCTTTGGTACCATATTACAGAAAGGCAGTACAAGATTCATCATGTTCACTTTATAATCAGTGAGACTCAATATATTCTATGTTGCATTTAAGACAGATCCAAGGGGCACTTTTGAGAAAAGAAAGAAATGATGACATGGCTACAACAAAATCACTAGAAGAAGAGATAATGTCTGCAGTGTTTTAAGATTTGATGGCAAGCACATACAAATACAAAAAACAACAACAACAACTAAGCTCCATGCAATTGAACATTTCAAATATAAATTAATAATTTAGGTTCTCCAACCCTAGAAGCACATATAGATACATTTAGGGTCCGCTGTATAAATCCTTACAATCCATTTCCCTCCATTTAGTCCCGTATCATACCAATAATAAGTAATTTAGGCTCTCCAACACTACAAGCACATATAAATACAAACAGTGAAGATAAAACTGAAATTAAAAGTTAGTATATGGTCATGCTAATTAATCAAAATGAAGCTAAGAGGTCCATAGATAAAAATAAGAATAGATCTGCATATGAACCTAAAAGAGAAACTATCTGCTAAAAGTTCAGGATTTAGTTATCAAATAAGTTGCATCAATTTGCAAACTGATGCATTTACTCCTATTCTTCCATGGGATTAAACATTTTCAAGTACCAATAAACACAACAAAATTATTCTCACAATGTAGTTCTAATTCTTCAACTAGAAAGGTAAATCTGCAGCAAGCTCTCCAATTTTAAGCAAATATATCGCTTTGATGACAGAAATTGCCATCAGTTGGTTAACTTATTAGTTCCCCTCCCTCACTGTTTTTGTTTTTACTAAATAATTTAGCTTTCAACCAAGTACATCACTAAACCTTTTTGTAGCATGAATGCCAAAAGGTAATATTAGATCAATTCTAAAAAATATACACATAAAATATCTAGTTTTGCAGAAACACCACGAGTTCACATACACCATAAACTACCTACTAAATTCTCCCCCGCCAACAACATGCTTCAATTTAAACTCTTATCCACTATAAACCAGTTCGAAAAAATCTAAAAAAGTCCAGCTAATACAATGTCTTCACAATTTACTCTCTAATTTCATCACTTTTAGGCTATAGCACTTCATATCCTCATTTTCCTTGCAATAATTCTTTTTTTTTTTTTTTTTGAATTTGTCCTCGTCACCTTAATACTCTCACTTGAGTTACAAGCTTACGCTACCAAGCTCAGCATTTTCCAAACAATAACACTTACATATGACAATTCCTTATACTATTCCAACTAAACCAAACACATACATGATACAACAGCAAATTCACAAGTTACTTTTTCTTCACACATACACCAGCAGCAGCCGGTCAGCATCTCATCCACTAAAATACCATCAACATGCTTCAATTTAAACTCTATGCGCTATAAACCAGTTCGAAAAAACTTCACAGAAAATAAATAAAGTTAGGTTTTGCAAGTGTTTTTTATCCATAAAAATCACCTAATACAATGTCTTCACAAATTACTCTCTAATTTCATCACTTAATACTTCAATTCAAACTCCAAATCCTCATTTTCCTAACACTTAAATATACTTAAATTTTCACATAACTCGCACTATTCCAAATAAACCAAAACACATACACCAGCAAAATCACAGGTTACTCCTCCTCCTCCTCCGCATCAGTAACCAAACCGAACTGCTTAAGGAACTGTTATACTAATATTAAACAACAATAATCAACGGAAAAAGTAACAAAAACTTCGCCGTTGCGAAAACTGAACAGACTACAAAAAGTACATTGATAAAAATACCGAAAACTGAAAAAATTAATTCACCTGAAAAACGATCTGGAGAAGAGAATGCGAAGGAGAAAACGCTTTCGTTTTGCTTCTGGAAATTCAAATAATTGGAGAGATAAAGGTGAAGAGGAAAAGCAAAAGCAAAGGAAGCGTCAAAAATGCAGTGTGATAAAAAAGTGAAATGGAATTTGAACTGAGATTTTTGGTAAAATAGGAAAGAGTTGAGTAAGATAGAGCCAAAAAGAGACAATTATTAAATCAATTTTACATTTATTATTATTCCCAATCCCGAGTTCACATTTGAGCTTCGAAAAAAATTGAATTGCACATTATTGGGTCTGTTTTAATAAAAGGTTTAGTATTTAACATAATAATAACGACTAGTTAGGTATGAGGAGAGTAATGTGTACACAATGTTACTTCTAATTTGCAAAGGTAAAGGTTGTTTTTATTGATAAACGTTCGTGTGTCAAGTAAAACATATTAAAATCAGGAGTAAGGAAAATACGAGTTTGATTATGACTCATTATTTAGCTCAATTCAGTGCAAGTAATATTTGATCATTGACTCGACCATTTATTAGAGACTCAACTCATTTTCACTCATCTAAATTCAATACCCATTTGAGATTCTTAGTATCTAGTTTACAAACTCGACAACAATCCAAAAAAAAAAACGTAATTTCATAAGTGGGGTTTGTATGCAATCTTATTCCTACATTTATGGAATAAAGAGATTGTATTGACCTTCAGCAACCCTCAATCTTTATTCAGACTTATAATCAGTAATATGAACAAACTCATAGATATGAAATAAACATGTTAATCAGAAGATAACATCTTAACTAGTCGAGTAATAATCTATCATTACCTAACAAAATTAAGTATGTTGATCAAAAGATAACAATCTCAATCGATCGAGTAATAATCTATCGTTACCTAATTAAGTATTCGTGTCCAATCAAACATTTTCATATAATAAGAAATTGATGTGTAAACAAATCATGTTCATGTTATTGTCAAGGACCACTTCTCGATTCTTTGCTTATTCTTGGTGTGTTTGGCCTTTCTACTTTTCTTTAGCTACGATACGCTTGTTCCTTTTTCCGGTATAAGAATCATCGTAAAATCAAAATTTAAAATTTATAAATTCAAATTATAGTTTTTTTTGAGTTATTTGATTTTAAATTAATATTTTACGTATATTAAATAAATTTCTTAAAATAAATATAAAACTAAAAGATACTTCATATACTAGCTCTGCCCCTAATAGTAATGTTTTTCCAAAGAGAATATTATCGTCCTATGTAAGTATCGATAATCTGTCTATCAAGGATAAGGCAGACGAAAGAAATAACATACTACTATTTTTTGGCTTTTTTGCTTCTACTAGTATTCTAAGTTGAAATCCCACAATTTTCTTCAAGTTTTATTGACCACTTGGCTATACCGTTAGGTGCATAAACATACATTATACATTTGTCGATTGTATATTTTTGGAGAATTTGATATGGATGTGACATCAAAAGTGACGAGTTCGCGCAACTTAGGTTATAGCACCTTCATTTTCCCTTTTAAGTACTAAAATTTCAAGGAATCATTGAGATGAGCAGAGTCAATTCCAGATTAACAAAGTGATCTTTAGCTCAAAGAAAGAAACAATTACAAAATCATCAACCAATTGAACTAATAATGCAACAAATTACACAGAAAAAGAAAAAGAACTTAACACTAATTAAACAATTTCAGTAATCAAATAGTTCCCTAAAGCTAAAATACTTAACAAAAACAGACATAAATATTCACAAGAAAATAACAAACTGTGCCAACTAAAATACTTTGACAAATATAAGCATAAGCGTACAGTGTTTGTGTCTCACATTCTGCCATACTCCACATCCTCAAATGGATTGGGAGTTGTACCGGATCGCTGATTCAGTTGTACCTCGGGACGTTCTATCTCTAATCCTCCGTTAGTAGGGTGGACGTGTTGTCTGCTACTACGAACCTCCTCCATTGCACGGAAATATGCATAAGGTCCCCATCCTGAGAACAGCGAAAAAAATGAACATATCGGGTTAATTTCAGAATTGTGTCCACTATAACAGTAAAGTCACGGAGAAGAGATTTTGTGCAATGCCTTCTCCTAGATCATTAGCAACAAAAAGGAAAAACCGTGGGGGATTAGAAGAACACGCGATTGGAATATATGATCAGATCACACTAAGATGATTGAATCTTCTTTGTTTAAAGAACTGAGTTGAGAAAAGGCAGATGTATAGAACCTTTCAACGAGATATAGTTCTCTCGAAATGGAATATATGCCAAACGTAAGCCAGATTAGTCAACATTGACAAGATTTTATTTGTAACGAGTGGTTTTGTTGGTTGGTTGATTGGTCACATTTTTGTCATGAAATGGTGTAATTAACTTGGTATTAGTCTGGATATGGACTATTTTGAAGTACTAAGGAGCTAACAAAATCGAAAGGATTGGAGAAAGGTTTGTTTAAGAGCGAGGAATAACTACACAAAATATAATAAAAGTGGGAGGAGATTAGTGAAGAACGTACCTTCAGTATGGTATGGAGCAGGGAAGAACTGCAGGTAACAGAATGTTGCAACGAAAAGGCCTGAAATGTGAAACATATGGAGTTAGTATTTATCAAACGAAATGCAGTCCTCGTTTAATGCTAAATGTAGAATTTCAAGACGAACCTATCATTCCTCCAGTGAACACGTCTTGCCAATGATGCCAGTAGTCATCCACACGTGAGACCCCAACAAGAGATGCCATTAGGAGAGGAAGAAAAACTATGCATAGTTTTGCCACATGCCCTCGGCGATCAAATGCTTTAATCTTCCCTGCTAAATACAACGATAGAAACCCGAGACCAGCAAATGACCCTGCAAAAGAAGAACTCAAATTTTCTTAATATCTCAGAAATCCTGATTTAATGTACATGGATAGTGGAAGCGGAGAAAGTTGAGCTAAATACATGAGGTATGCCCGCTTGGGAAGCTCTTATGTCCTTCCTTAATATCACTTGCTTTACCATGGCATTTCACGTCTCCCCACTGATCGTACTCCTGAAAAGAGAACAACAAAATAAATCAATCGACTTACGATGGAGTTGAGCACCACTTTTATCAATACGCTTCTAAGTGTATTACAGTTATGATCATCATTCATCAAGAAAATCACTTTCATTATCAGATAAACATACGGATGCTCTTATTGAGTCAAACAAAAATGCACTAAGAAGCTTACCCTTAATTGGGAAAAAGGTAAAACTTTTCCAATCAGGGAGACTGGGAGAGTAAGATACATACATCTTTACCATCAGGAAAGCAACGCCAGAAAAAGTCCGGTCGGGGACGGCCTACTCCATTCTTGATGGCATCCGTGATTACAGCCGTAATAAGTACAGCAAATAAGAGGCCTGCAATTTTTGGACAGGTCTAGCGCAGTTAGTAAAGTTGTTTGGAAAACCAAAAAGGAAAACATTCCTTTTAGTACAACAATGAAAACAAAGTCACGGAGACAAAAATCACTTCTACCCGATATTTCAATCCGTACTAAGGGGAAAATAACTCTGAAATGGAAATTACCTAGAATGCTGTGGTGCAGATCATAGACATCCTTCCTCCGAAGATAAACGAAAAGGAAGATGATAATAGGTAATACAACTGCATATAGCTGTTCATGAAAGAAATCTGTTAATAACACTAGAAACTCCGGGATTTGATTACAAAAAATTTGAACTTTTTGAAATTCGCAAGCACAGTATAATCAGCACTCCGCCCACACCTCTATTCTATCGTAGAATAGAAGCTTCAATATCCTATTAGAGCAATTAATTAAACTTTCCGTACATTACATTGATACTCAACTCAATATGTTAAAAAAGAAAAGGAATACTCACGGGAACAGACCACACTGGGACCGTATTATCTTTCATGGGATATTTCAGATCAGTCATCATATCCTTTCCAACATACCGGTGAAATGGACCGATGACATAAAGGACTACTTCTATTACTACAAGCAGTAGCAATATAAGCCAGTCATGCATGTGAATTCTTGCAACTGATGATCCATGAGACTTGATAGTATGTCCACATCCAAGCTCAATCGCATTTGTATTACCCTGTTCCATTTGAAACAGAAATATCAATACGTACTGTTGCAAAAACAAATTAGTATACAAATTGACAGTTCATTTGATAAAACATTCTAAAAGGCCTAAGTACTTTGAAGTTAGCAAAGCCAGAATGAATAAGCACTTCGTTTTGAACCACACGACATAATCTTCAGAAATGGGAATACAGCAACAACAAACATATATGACTCAAAAACAAGCAAGTTGGAGTCGGCTATGAATCCTCACTGTCCATATCAGTCCATTTAAGCTAATCTTGGTCCGGTTTTGTATAGGAGAAGAATTAAGAATAAACATAAAGTTATTATATATAACCACAACATGCTGAAATTTCTAGAAACTATAATCCTGCAGAAAGAAATAGTTGTAGATATACCAATGAAATAAACAGTATCATCACTAAAAGATCTTCCAATATCACTACAGATTTCGTTCATTATCTTACTGGAGCACTAAATTGCACTGATTGAATCTACATCAAGAACCCCATAGTTCAATCCTCCCAATTCTTCTCATCCCATACAAAATTTGGATTTTTCATCATAACATCCACAGATTGCTGCTAAACAAGACAGTCAAAACAATTAAGTACCATACGCCATACGAGTAAAGGACAATTGCAACAACAACACACCCAGTGTAATCCCACGAGTGGGGTCTGGGGAAAGTAGAGTCAACATGGACCTTACCCCTACCTTGAGAGGTAGAGAGGTTGTTTCCAATAGACCCTCGGCTAAACGACAATTGCAAGAGAATGAAAATAGAAACAGCATTGATAAGCAGAACCAGAAATCAAAACTAAAAAAATATAGATATCATGAAAAATGGGAAAAGAACACAGCAAAAAGGCCAACAAACCTGAAACACAGTCCTAATCTTGTCTTTCCAACCCATTTAAGCACTGCTGATACTTCAATTAGAAAGAGCAGAATCCAACCTCACAGATAATCTTGGGACCTAGAATCCAAAAAAGCACCAAAATTAACAAAAAAAGACGAGATTTTAAAATGAGTTCCCACAAGTTTATGCCTTAAAGCTTCAATTTTTCAGTCACAGAAGAAAATTGAGAAAAAAATACAGTATGAAGTAGTAAGACTTTAAAAGAGCAGAAACCCAAAAACCAACCAATATTAAGAAAGGAAACATGATTTATCAACAAAGAATCCTTCTAAATTATACCAAGACTGACTACTACTATCATTAAGAACAATTTTGACTTTTTAAAAGAAAATAATGGTACTAAATCAAACATTAAGCACTGAGAGGTACCCTTTTGGCAGATATTTTCTAAGGAAACAAAAGAATAATTCAAATGGGTCCCCACAAGATAAAGCTTCAAACTTTAGCAATGGAAGAACGTAAGGCAAGAAAAGAAGAAAATTGAGAGACAATACAGTATGAAATAAAAGACTTTAAGATAGAAGCGACGACTACAACAACAACATACCCCATGAAATTCTACAGGTGGGTTGGGGGAAAGTAGAACGTACATAGACCTTATTCCTATCTTGTGGGGGTAGAAAAGTTATTTCCCGAAAGACTGTCGGTTCAGGTAACACATATCAAAACAGAAACACAAGACCCCACCATTTATAAGGGGAAAAAATTCTTCTAGCTATGACACCAAGACTGACTATTAGCCTCATCATAAGAACAATAATGACTTTTCAAAGGTAATTAATGCTGTTAAATCAAACGTTGAACAGTACTCATTTTAGCAGATATTTTCTAAAGAAGCAAAATAATAATTAATTGGGTCCCCCACAAGTTAAAGCTTCAATCTTTAGCAATGGCAGAACATAAGGCAAGAAAGAATCACCACAGAATGTGGTGCAGCGGATGGGGATGCTCTTTCAGGCCCAAGATATGGAAAGAGCCCAAAAATGAGTCTAAGTGATGCGAATCCAGATTAGTCAAACACCAACGCAAGTATCAAACACCGAATGGAAAATTTTAAAAAAAAAGTAATAAAGAATAAAATGGAGAATCCAAACTCACAGAGAATCTTGGGACCTAAATTCCACAGACAAGATTTATCAGCAAAGAATCCTTCTAGAAATGACTAATACTATCATCATAACTCATAAGATCAATTTTGACTAATTAAAGATTCATTTTTTCATCAAGTTTTTGTTTAAAGATTCAATTTTTCAACAATAAAATGGAGAAAAAAAAACACAGTACACTTCAAAAGTAGCAAACACAACAAAAACCCACCAAAAATAATAAACAATACAAGATTTATCAACCAAAAAAACCCTTCCAGAAATTATATCAAGACTGACAAATATACATCATAATAAGAACAAATTTGACTTTTTAAAAGAAATTAGTAGTGTCAAATCAAAGATTATGCACTGAAAGTTACCTTTTTTAGCAGATATATTTACTGGGGAAGCAAAAGAATAGTTCAAATGGGTCCCCAAAAGAAGATAAGGCTTCAATCTTTAGCAATGGCAGACCATAACTACACAAGACAAAGATGGAAAAAAAAAAGTATGAAAATAATTTTGTATAATGGATTTTTCTTCTTTAGGAGACAGTTTTTAAGACTTTCAAAAAAATTAAGAAAATTCAACAACTACGCAAAATATGGTGCCGAGGTACATGGAAAGTGCACAATCTTTTATTTTTGAAAAATTGAGATTTTAAAATAGGGATGGGAGATTCCAAAGACCAAGACTTTTTTTTTCCGAGATTATTATTAAAGTCTAATTAAATTTAAATTTCAATATTACAAGGCCTATTTTAAGAGGTGTTGGTTTCGATTCGAGGCTTTAGATTAAGAATAGATCAACACCAATCATCCTATTACTATTCACGTCGATGAGTATTAAATTATTTGATCAGAGCCGTTGATTTTGTCAAATATGTTACTCTCTCCGTCTCATTTTATGTAGCACCATTTCCTTTTTGATCAGTTCCAAAAAGAATGTCATATTTTCTTATATGGTAAATATTTAAAGGTACAATTCCTCTTTTACCCTTGTTGGTCCCACTTAATCTTAAAATAATACTCCAACACATTTATGAGGAGAGAAAAAAGTGAATCTACTTTTTAAAGGGCAATTTGGTAAATATTTCAAAGTCTTCATTTATTTTTTAAACTCCGTACCCGGTTAAATATTGCTTCATAAAATGGGACGGAGGGAGTAAATTATTTGGTCAGATAATGATGACTTGGTTGGTTATTGTGGGTTTCCAGGCAATAACTGTCGACGTGTAGGACCTACACAAGATGATTGATATTTTCCGTTTAAATGGCCAAAAAATTTAATCAGGATTTTGTTAGAAATTTAAAAAGTATAATATTTTTTTTATTTTTAAATAAATTGATCTTTTTCCTATTTTTTTTTTAATTAAAGGTATTAAAGTTAAAAGGGTAAAAATGTTCAAAAAAGTAAAATAACATAGTGTGAAATATATTATTTTACCATTCTGGCCAAAAAGATTTTTCCAAAAAAATAAATAAATAGTTTGACTTGATACGGAGTTTAAGAAAATAAAAAATAATTTAATGTTATAATCCTAAATTAACTTGTGTCGAATATACTAAAATATTTTTTAATTCGTATAGCCTTACGCATACTATGTGTAAAATTGAAAAAGTGTTGCCAAAGAATAAAAAAGGTCGTTGTTTTTAAAATAGAGGGAATATTTTTTTTAGAGTTTATTGAGTAAATATTATTTCATCTAGTCTTAAATTATGTCGTGTTTTTCTTTTACACACTTAAAAATATTAATGAAGAGAAGTTTAGACTTTTTTTTACCTTTATTTGTGTTGTAAAATGTATTCTTTTTTCGTTAAATATTTACTTTGTTTATGTGTTATATTGTCTCATAATTGAAGTGTTTGTAGTTTCCAACATAAATTACACGATTTAAGGTATTAATTTTATCTTAAATTTCTAAAATGATTAATAACTGCGATAACTAGTCTTAAAAAACATGATAGGTAAATTGAGACACGAAAAGTAATTACATATCAATTTATTTTTGAATTTTATAATTTTGACACCAAATCTCTGAGAAAAATGAAATCTTTTAACCCCCAAATTTTCTAAAGTGTGTCTACATGGACTGAACCAAAAAAATTTCTAAAGTGTGTCTACATGGACTGAACCAAAAAATAGTGTGATTAGCTCATTGGAATTCAGTAATTTATAAAAAAATAAAATAAAAAAATTCTCAGATTAAGAAATTATAAAAGGTAAAATCGATCCTTTAACAACAAAAAGTAAAAAATTCAGATAGTTAATCAACCAAACTAACATTAGAATAATGGGACTTCCTTCAAATACAAGTTTTGTGGCTAACATGTATTGATTTAACGTTTATAAAATCCAAACTAAATCATGTATATAATTGAATTTAAATAAGTTCTAGAACAATTGCTTTAGTCAACAAAAATCTTATGGCCTTTTCTGTTTAATTTCTTTGACTTATCTAGAAAAAATAAAATAGTAAAAGGTTAGGTAGAGAATTTTGAAACATATTATTAGTTTTGTTGCTCGAGGTCATCACGTAGTTAATTTTTAATTTTTATATTAAAGTAAAAAATAATTATTTCCATAATATATGTATTTCGATTTTTAATTAGCTGTCTTTAAGTCACTGAAAATAATACTCCTATATTATGAAAAAAAAATCTACCCAAAAAGAAATGCCAAAAAAGTTTAAAGATTTTGTGTCAAATACTTGGATTTTGAAATAATATTTGCAAATATTTTTAGCTATAATATGAACTAACGAATTTATTAAAAAAATATTATATTAGTAAGAAAAAAAATCACATAATAGATGTAAAAATAATTTTTTAAAAAAATAAATAAATAAATTATAGTTTGGTGTTCCTTACCTTTCTCTTTAAATATTAGTAGTATTAGCCTTATGCATTGTGAGTTGCAATTCTTTTCGAAGCAATCACTTTACCTCCAAAAGGTATGATAAGTCTCCGTATATTTTATCATCTTTAAGTTTCATCGTAAAATTATACTGGATATATAATTATTATCGGTGTAAAGGGTGGGGCCTGACTCTGTTAATTAAGCCATTGGAGTAGGTCAAACAGAACACATGCTAAAAGTTTGGCACAATGTTGGTGGGATATTATTAAAGAATTATTTTTTGCAGTAATTTTCTAAAAATAAATAAATTAATATATGATGCCAACAAATTAAAATCATGTTGCGTTTATAAAATCTAATCGGAGAATCAAATACAGGTTGGTTAATTTGTTTTATTGAATATAAAATAATCCAATATAAAATGTATTGATACTTTTAAATAGTTGAGCCATATTCGCTAGGAATAAAAAACTAACTCTTTGTTATATATAAACGAAGTTCATACCCTTAATATCATGATGTGTTTATTACAACTTATATCCGAGTCTTCATTGTGATCTTATTTTTTAATTAGTTTCCGTTTAAATTCACTCATTTAAATTTCTGATTTCGCCACGAATTATGACATGATGTAGTTGAAAACGTTAAGCATTTTGAATCAAAGTTTTTAAATTTTATAGAGAAAATGATGATAGGAAATAAATGAATGAATAAACAAAGAGCTTTGAAAAAATCTTTTATTCTTTAATTTTCTTCCTTCTTGTAATTTTTCCACTTCATATTTGACAAGAAAAATATATTGCAGAATATAAATTAATGAAATTGATTGACCAACAATAATCACATATCGTTTACTAGCTTTCTCAGTATTTTCACATAATATTTTACAAATAAAATAATCGTACTTCTCATATATATTTGTTGTTCTAGGAAGTTTCATGTATTAATCATTTGAATCACGATTTTACTGGATCGACTAATTTAAATTCGCATTGCATGAGAGCAATTAAAGGTGAAACCGTTCCTTACCAGGTCCTTTTCATGATTTCTAATGCTCAAACCCGATGCATCCGATTAAGTGTGAAGAAGTTTAATGTGGATCTAGAGTCG